TATAGTTGCCACCCATGGCTATTAATATGGAGTTGTCCTCTATGGCCATTAATATTGGGTTGCCCCCTATAGCCATTAATAGGGAGTTGCCACCCATGGCCATTAATATGCAGTTGCCACCATGGCGGTTAATATGGAGTTGGCTCCTCTTTGTGGCTATAACAGCCTTCACTCTTCTGGGAAGGCTTTCTACGAGACTTTGGAGGGCGTCTGTGGGAATTTATGCTCATTTGTGAGGTACAGATGTTGGATGAGAAGACCCGGCTCACAATCCAATTTATCCCAATGGTGTTTGGTCGGGTTGAAGTCAGGGCTCTTGCGAAGGCTACATGAGTCCCCCCACACCTGAAGTTGATGTGTTGGAAGCAGTAAAAATGGGCAAGCTTAACGATTTGAGTGACTTTGACAAGGGCCAAATTGTAATGGCCAGGGTCAGAGCATCTCCAAAACTGCACCTCTCATGGGATGTTCCTGGTCTGCAGTGGTCAGGACCCACCAAAAGTGGTCTGGCCTGGTTTACAATCCAATTCATCCCAGAGGTGTTCAGTAAGGTCAAGGTCAGGGCTCTTTGAAGACCACGAGTTCCTCCACACCAGCCTGGTCACACCATGTCTTTATGGAGCTGGCTTTGTACACAGTCATGGCGGAACAGAAAAGGCTCTTCACCAAACTGTCACCACAAGGTTGGAAGCCCATAATTGTCTTTGTATGTTGCAACATGAACAGCAACCTTAACTGGGAACACCTCAACTCTATAATTTGGGGGGGGGGACGGTCCACTTACTTTTGGCCATTTAGTTGCAAACGTTTATAAATCAGAGGAACGTAAGATGGTGATATAGGGAACCAAAAGGCAGTTCTTGTGCAGATCTTTATAAATAGACCCTTAAATGTGGAAGACGTTTCAACTCACCAGAACAGATGGAACGGAAGTGAGCCGGGACATGAGCATCGCACTGTGATAGCCACCTGTGTACAGCAAACGTCTCATAACATCTACTAGAGGTATTGCATTGCTACTAATGGTCCTTCCCAAAACGGCCGCCATTTTCTCCTACCGAAAACCACCTTACCCAAGCCGTCACAATGCCGTCACCTCCTATATCTCAACAGGCCTTCTGTCCGCTTCTCAATCTCTCCGCACCATCCCAACACACTGAACCCTTTCTCAGACCAACCAGAGAGCTCACCGCCTGCCGTCTTGTACTATCGAAAACCTCAAACCATCCGCCATGTTTTTTACGTCTTCATCTTAGGTGACCTATGAGATAATTGCAATAGAAATGATACATCATACCATCAACCTTCACATTGCTGCCAACGTTGGGGAACCAGCAATGTGCGTTGGCCATGCATCCATACAGTGTACAGATAACGGGACGATATTGGACCATGCATGGAGGGAATCCGCTATATGAATATTTATAACCGTTTTCTAATTCATTTTATCGACGCTCCGCCATCCACCTGCATCTGTAAAACCGAACTGGAATCGGGGTACGTGTGTATATTTACACCCGGAACATGTACACGCACCCACCCCATCCCCTCCCCCTTTTCCGCCGCCATCTTCAGCTTTCCGGCTCTAGAACCACGACAAGGAACTTGGAATTTCGTGTACACTGACTTTTATTTCTTTCCTCTTCTTTTTTTTTTTTTTTAAGCAAGAACGGGGGGGACATGTAACGGGAA